CCCAGCAGCACATCCCCTGCAGCCTTATCCACGTGGAGATGCCTAGTGGTTGGGTGCTACCAAGGCTATCAAAGGTGCTGGGTATGTGGGGCTCAGCCCTCATCTGCGGGCAAGGCTGAATTGTGGGAGAACGGTACAGAAACCAGGCCAGGAGCAAATGGAACTTGTTCTTCTGGGCTTGTAGAGACCCAGCCCCTGCACCCTGGCCACTGCTGACCTGGCCACAAGCCACAGCAGTGGCAGAGGGGCAGGACTCAGGCTTGCTTGTGAAACCTTTGGTAGCATTAAAGTGCACCGTTTTGTTTCCACTGAAGCACACTAGTGCCAAGACTCGGTCTCCTCTCCAGGCCTTTCCTGGGGGAGGAATGCGGAGGTACTGGTGCAACCATCCTTCCAGCAGCTGGAGTGGAGGGCTCTGGCCCTTCCACATCTCATGGGGCTAGGATGGGGCAGCCCACTTCTGCTCCAGCCCATGCTGAACCAGTTGGTCTTCCCCACCGTGGGCCACCCTTGGGGGCAGCTGGAAGCTGGGACACCAGGATCTGTTCCCAATCTGGGTGTCCCAAGGTGCTGGTCCCTGCTCCTAGCTCTGCTGGGTGAGGGCTAGCAGTGCCCCAGGGCTGGGAGGGCAGGGGAGACATCAGGGCTGTTTAACCATTAAACCTGGGGCGTCTTGGAAGAGGCGGGGACACTGGCTTCCCTGCCACTTCACCCTGTACCTTGCTCCCTCTCACATTCCCTACAGCCATGAAGCAAACAAAAGGTATGTGCCGGGACAGTGGGGCTTTGTCCTGCAGAGACCCTTCCCCACGAGACACGCATGTCTCCAGGTCCTGCTTCCACACGGAGCAAGGCAACATCAGAGCCCAGGCAGGCCATGGAAAGGAGCTAGAGGCATCCAGGAAAATGCAGATGGACATTGTGGGAGCGCTTGGCAGGAATCTCCCCTTCTTGGGTTTGGGGGTCCTTCTGCTGGAAAATGTGGGGAGCGGTTTTATGGGGAGGTACGCAGGGAAAGGCCTCTGTCTCCATCTCCTGGCTCCAGCCAGCTCTCTGGGGCCCTGATGACCCTTCCCATCCCGCACTCAAAAGCCCTGTAAACCCTCAGGACTGACCTCCATCTGCATACTGCCGCCTGGCCCTACTTTGCCCCCGGTGCTGCAGGACCCCACTGGGCTGGGCAGTGGGTGCGCATTGGACAAAAGCAGCAGGTGTCCTGCTGCTTTGAAATGCAAAAGGACACTAGAGGTGGGGCCAAGGGCCAAGCTCTGCCTGGGCACAGGCTGTAGCGGGGGGGCAGAGTGGCTGGGGGGGGCTGCGTGGACTCAGCAAACCTACCTCACCTGGCGTGGCATGCTCAGCCTGCGAATGGACAAGCCCTGAGTGCTCGAGAGCATGGGGTCTGCTCCCGGCCAGCCACCTCCTGCACTGACCTCTCCTCTCCCTCTGCAGGGCTCGAGGGTGACAAGAAATCCATCATGTAAGTGCTGAGCTCCCCCTGGTTGGGGGCTTCCTGGGGCTCATGGCCCCACAACAGGGCTGTGCCGGGGCACAGCCTCAGCTGAAGTGGTATGGGTCACGGCTGCCAATCCCAGCTGCCTGCCCCAGGAGGGTCTTCCCTCAGTTGTTAACTCAGGAGAGATGTGGGGGACAGTCCAATAGGGAGATCCTCTTGTGGCTTTCCCCAGGGAAGAGGGAGGCACTGGAGCTGTGGCTCCAGCTGGCCCTTTCTGGGAGGAATGGGGCTCCCCATGGCAGGGCCAGGGAGGGCGGGGGGAAGGCCATGCTGCTGCACTAACGTGGCCTCTCCTGCCCTTTATCATTTCAGAAAATTTGAATTTAACCCCAAAGATGGGATCGACAACCCTGCCTTGTCGCTGACTGAGGACATGGGTAAATACCCTTATCTCCCCAGGGCATCCCTATGTCAGCACGGGGTTCTGGCAGCTGGGCATCGTTGGGGTCCTGGACTCTCTCAGCTGTGGGGACATGAACATGTAAGGCAGCGGGGATGGGGAGACCCTAGCCCAGGGTGGGGTAGAGAAATTGTGTTAGGATCCCTGCGGGACCCTGCTCACGGGCTGTGCCCCCACACAGATGGCAAGGGTGTGGGGGAGCCCCGCTTCTTCCTCCTGAGCAAGGGCAGCACAGAGACCTTCGGCTTCTGCCTCCACGAGGAGCTGGGCTGCCAGGGCCACGTCATCCGGCAGGTTGAGATGGGGGGTCTGGCCCAGCGCAGGGGGCTGCAGGATGGGGACCGGCTCCTCCAGGTTAACGGCCAATTTGTGGATCATATGGACCACCGCAGGGTAAGCTGGGAGCACTCTGGGGCTGTGGGAATACCCAGGTCCTCCCTGGCCAGGGGCACAGAGAGTGCCGGACCCCACTGCCCCCCGGGGCCCTGATCCTGCAGGCTGTGGTTGGAGGGGCACCCGGCCCAGGGTTCACAACCTGGGTCCTTCCAGGTGGTGCAGAAGATCAAGGCCAGTGGCAACCAGGTCCTACTGGCGGTGCTGGACAGCAACTCCTACGAAGCAGCCAAAGCCCTGGGCAGGGACCTGTCACAGATGCTGCCAGCTGACATCCGCCCACGCCTCTGCCACATCACGCGGGACAAAAGAGGGTTTGGCTTCAGTGTGTCGGGTCCAGAAGGTAAGGCAGCCAACATGCCTGTGCCGTGAGCCTCCCCCATGCAGCGTCCCTCTCGCCCCGGACTGCCTCTTCTCCTCCCTGCAGGCATAAAGGGCACCTTCCAGCTGTCGGTGAGGCAGGGTGGGCCAGCGGAGAAAGCAGGGGTGCCACAAGGCTCCTGGCTCCTGGAGGTGAATGGGGCCAGCGTGAGGAGCTACTCACATGCACAGCTCACCAGAAAGGTACATGCTCCCGGCACGGCTGGGTGGGGGATCGGGGGTGGCAACATTGCTGAGCACCCTGCATTTCCTATCCAGCTTAAGCAGAGCACCAGCAAGGTGACGCTGCTGGTGGCGTCCAGTGCTGTGGAGGAGTTTTACCGCCTGCGGGGCCTGCGGATCACAGCTGCATTGGCAGATACCTCCTGGCTCCCCTTCAAGGTCCGGGAGCTGCACATGGTGAAGGGTCCAGCTGGCTATGGATTTCTGCTCAAGGAGGATGACTGCAGCTCAGGGGCCACAGGTGAGGGAGCTGAGGGAAGCAATCTCTACCTGAGCAAGGCATGTCTGAAGGTCAGGAATAGCTGCAAGCCCTGTGCCTGCAGCAGAACCCTGTCCCCATCTGCACTTGAGGGTCAGCAGTGCCAGTTCTCCTCTGGCTGAATGCCTCTGTAAGCATCTCCCCACCCTCCCTCTGTCCTGCTGTGGCAGGCCAGTTCCTGTGGGACGTGGATGCAGGGCTGCCGGCTGAGCAGGCAGGGATGAAGGAAGGGGACCGTCTCCTGGCTGTGAATGGTGAGAGCATTGAGGGTCTGGACCACCAGCAGACGGTGCTCAGGATCCGCGCCCATGATGACCAGGTGACACTGCTGGTCATCGACCCTGCTGGCGATGAGTTCTATCAGTCAGTAAGTTTTGGGGACCCAGTGTGGTCCCGCCCTGGCTGGGGACCCCGGGGGTGCTGTGAAGCTGGATGGTGGGATGGGTGTCTTGCCCCCAGGCCTGCACAATGAGGTCCTCCCCAGGGGACCTGGCTCGCCGTGGAGTGCTAGAAGCTGTACGGCTATCCCTCTTCTGCTCTTTCAGATCGGGCTGTCCCCTCTGCTGTTCTTTGAGGACAGTGACCCTGCCTCAGGCTCCTGCATGCCCTCCTTGCCCTCTCCCAGTGGCTCCCCTGGACTCTGTCACATTGAGGTGGGACCAAAGGGACCTGGCTCCTGGCTGGTGGCTACTAGCAGCAGTATAGGGTTCACACAGGTAACCCCTCTTGCCAGGCCTTTGTGGAAGTGCTGCTCACAGCCTGGCACTGCTCTGAGTCCTGGCACCCTCCTGCCCTGCCTGTCCTAATATTTCCCTGGCACCTGTGATGCTGGCAGGAGGGGGCTGACTGGTCCCCTGGCCACAGGGGCCAGGCAGAAAGACCTCTTCAACCTGCCCATGGGGCAAGGGTAGAATGTGGTGGGGTGGGTGGCTGTGTGCTGCCCACAATGCCCCCACTGTGTCCCCGCAGAGCCCATGCCAGGAGGAGCAGAGGAGGCTGCACCAGGCGTTCTAGCAGCCCGGGAGCACTCTGCCACCAGCCAGGCTCCGCCCCCACAGCACCTTGACCCAGGCCATGTCCAGCCCATCGGTGCCCCCCGCCTGGCTCCCCGGAGAGGGCATGGCCATCGCACACACACCTCACAGCATCACACCTCCCAGAGACATCTTCACTGACCGAGGCTGGCTCCAAGCTTTTATTAACTGAGGTGGTGACTTCTTGTAACCTGAAGACAGACCTGTGTCTTTGCCTGTGCAGCTGCCTCCAGGGTTATCTAGGGACATTGCGCCGAAGCCCTTGCCCACCTCCAGGCTCTGGGAGCTCCCAGGAGAGCTGAGGCATTGCCCTCCACACCATGATCCAGGGGACTGGGGAGCCTGAGGCTTGGCTCAGCCCAAGGCTGGTCTTTGGGCCACTGTGTGAAGGGGAAAGGAGCAGCGGAGGCCAATGGGGCACTGGAGGAACCCCCCACCTTTCAGCCTGTTGGCTGAGGACTGCCCCTGCATGGACATCTCTCTTGTGCTCCTCCTCTCACCCTCCCTGTGAACCTGTGGGCAGTGAGTGTCTGCCACCCATCACAGCACTGTTCCTGCATCATCCATTTGGGGTGTGATTAAAGGACAAATCCACACTGCTGTTCGTGTGATTAATGTTATGGAGAGGACTGTGACTCAGCACTGCATCTCAGGGCCAGACAGGAGTCATCTTCTCTTACCTAGCCCGGGGCAGCTGAGATGTTGGGCAGTGGATGTGGGAAGCTCTCCAAATGTGCAGATAGGGAGGTAGGGGCTGAGATCCTGTCTGGTCCCGGAAGCCCCAGGGTACTATAACTACAGGGGGTTGAGGCCAAACTCCTGTATGCACTCCTTGTGCTCCATGGCAATGGTCATTCCTACCTCTTCCCAGTGCTGGCTGGCCTCTGCCATCTTGGCCAGCACAAGGTCCAGACTACCCTGGTGGGAAAGAGGATGGTGAGGAGGGGGGACCATGCTGCCGGGGGAGCCACCCACAGCCACATCTATGGAGGCCACTCACATGGAGGTTCTTCTCATACTCCCTTTCCATGGCATCAAGCCTGCTCTGCAGCTGGGCAATGGTCCTGTACCTCTCTGCTACTGCCTGGATGGCAGTCTCCTGGGTCTGCGGGCTCTCCCTGAGCCCAGTGGCTGTAGGGTATGGGGACAGAGGCAGGGGACACTGAGCACGTGGGCACAGGAGCCTGGCACTGCATGACCAGTGTACAGGAGGGTGCAGGCAGTGTGTGGCACAGCCCCTGCCCAATCCCCTTCATCCCCAGGGTGGTAGAGGGCTCTGGGACAGGGGTGGGATCACAGCATCCCCTTTGCAGTCAGCATCTCCCAAGGTCAGGGATGCAGTGGGAACAGGGTTAGGCTTTGCCTTCAGCTGCTGCCATGCTGACAGCACAGGGTGAATGACTCCCATCTCCCCTGACTTCCCCCAACTGCACTTTGCTGCCCTGGAGCGAACCCCATCCCCATCCACCAGCAAGGGGCAGGCATGTCAGGGGGCCATACTGAGCTGCTCCTGCAGGCTCTTCACCTTCTCCTCCAAGTGCTGGCTGTGGGCTGCTGTCTGCTTCTGCAGGTCTTGGTATTGCTGGGTTGTTTGTGGGAGCCAGGGAAGGGAGAAGGGGACAAATATGGTCACTATAGGAGGGACAAGCAGGTGGTCCCTGTGCTGGGATCACAGCAGGGGCTCCAGCAAGGCCTGACATGAGAGTTCCCCTTGCAGGGTGACGCATCAGAAGCAGCTGTGCATGCACCCTCTCCCCACCTGGCAGGGCTGTGATAAAGCTGGAGGGGGGGCAGGAGGGAGCCCTGGAGGGAAAGTTTTACCTCTCTGTTGAGCGTGGGAGAGTGAAAATGAGCACGGAGTTTTGCATGTGGCAAAGACCGCAAACCTCTGGCTGAGGTTTTACCTCTGCTAAAATCAGTCTGTTCTTGAGCACTAACGGAAATGGCAAGGCAATGACTTTTGCAGGCAGGGAAGCCTCTGCCTCTGTGGTCTCTTCTGCCTGTGCTAAGTACAGGCATCTGGGGTGCAACGAGTCCATGTCCAGAGCCTTTGCATGGGAGGGAGCTGGGCTAGCCAACAACAGGGTGATTTGGGGCTGAGCAAGAGGAAGGCCGAAGGGAGAGGTGGGGTAAGCTTGTCTGGCTTCCCCCAGCAGCACCAAGGTGTGGGGTCCCTGCATCTGTTCCACTGCCCCTCCCACCTCTGCCCTCACCTTCATGAATGTCTCGCTTGTCTTCCCGTGCCTGCTCCAGCGCCTTCTCCAGGTCCTACAGCCTCCACTTGAGCCTTTCATTGTCAGCTTTTGCCTGCCAGGTCATGTCCCTCCAGGGAACTGTGAGCCAGAGACGCAGAGGACTGCCATGGGGACAACGTGCTTCCTGACAGGTGACCCACACCATGACCCTGGCCAGAGCATGGGCAGTCAAAGGGCACCATCCAACCCATACTGGGTGGCTATTCCCTGCCCAGTACCTCCTCAGTACCTTGGCCCAGCAGTGACTTATTCCTAGCCTTTCTCTGCTCCCAAAACCAGGGGGATGTGGACACCTCCTCAGCCCATGCCTGGCCCCAAGCCCTGCCTGAACCACAGTGAATCTCATAGCAAGAAACCTTCCCTTCGCTTCAGCCCAGCACCATGCTAGGGAAGCATTTCCAGGGGGGTGCCCCACTGCAGCATCCCTACCACCTCCCATCTGCTTTCATCATTGCTCCTCTCTTTCTCTGCCACCTCTGCAGCATTGCTGGCCTCTGTAAGCAGCTGCTGCATTGCACACCAGGGACTCTTGGGACAGCACAGGCAGCCCCTGGGGCTGGAGCCCACACGCAAGGGAGGCCATGTGCCATCCTCTGGCATGACTTGCTGCTGGGAAGGGCTAGTTCCTAGGAAGTACGTGCAGGGTAGCGGGCATCCCTTGCTTGACCCAGCCCCTGGCTCCTCCTGACCTTACCCAGGTGCTCTTTTTGCATGCCAACCTCCAGCGCTGTTTTCCTGTGCTTCTCTTCAGCTTGGCTTTCTGCAGCCAGAGGGAAGAAGGAAGAGAGAGTCAAGAGCAGCTCTTTAAAGGGGCTTGGCCAAGGGACACCAAGGGCTGTAAATGGCCCAGGGGAAGTGTGCCTTGGGATGTTTGCCCCAGGAAAACTTGGCTGGGTCACACCTCCAGCTCAAACACCGGCACCAGGGCAGTGTTTGTGCAGACACCTGTCAGACACAGAGTCAAGGTGTAGCCGGTTTTACCTGAAGCAGCTGCCCTGGAGAGATGCGCACTCATTTGGTACTGAGGGCTGGGATTTTGCAGTGAAGATGGGGCAGTAGCCATGGTGCATAAAGGCTTGGAGACCCCTTCCAAAACCCCACCCCAGATGCTTTTCCAGCCTGGTACATGCTTGCACTTTCAGAGACATGTAAGAGAGGCTGGGGCCTGACAGAGCCACTCTCTTTGACCTCCCCCTGGATCCTGCTGGGCTGGAGGGTGCAGTGGGGTGCACGGTGCTTTTGGCAGGGCACTGGACCCCTCTGTTTCCTGTATCTCATCAGGCATAACTGTGCTGCTGCCCTGGCACAGGGTGAGCCAGGCTGGGGGAGATGCAAGAGCCGCAGCCAGCTGTCCTATGGGGCCGCAGTGCAAGTCTTCATCCCAGTGCTCCCAGCTCCTGCTTCCAGGAGTCCCCACTGGCACTGGGAAGCAGCAAGGGAGGGACATGAGAGGCACATTCCTGCTGGCTGGAGGGACACAAGGCCCCAGACTCACCTCCTATGTGTCTCTTCTGCTGTTGCCTCACTCCTTTTCTCCCTTTCCCTTTGCTCTTTGGAGGCATCCTCCTGCAAAATGATACCAGTGCACTCTCAGCAACTGGTGATCACGCACTGGACTTTTGGGGGAGAAAGGGGATGCAGTGGGCCCACCAGCACATGGAGGAAGAGGCCCCTCCTTTCCCAGGAAGCGAGACTCAGAGACATGGAGCTGCCATGTCTCCGCCAGGATAGCTCTCCTGCCAGTACCTGTCCTGGCTGCTAGCACAGACCTCAGTGCCTCAAGATACAGCAGCTGCCTTTGAGGTAACCCCTGCTGTTGTAGCAACTATCTGCAATGAAGGCAGGTTGTTATCTGGCCCAAAACCTGCCTCTGCCTTGCAGCAGCTGAGCATCTCATTCCCATGACAGAGGTGTGGATAGAACGCGCCCTGCGCCCAGCAGAGCACCAGTATGGTCTGAAGCTGGCCCCGCTCCGCAGCACCAAACTGGTCATGTTTGGCTGCAGGATTGTGGAACACACCTCCGATCAGGTATGCTGGACCTCATCCCACTCACATCCCAGAGTGGCAGTCCCAGAGCAGCCCCAGCACGGGTCTAGCTGAGCTGTGGGGCAATGGGGACATGGTGGGGAGGATGACTTTCCCAGGTCACAGCCTGAAACAAGCCTGGCATCTTCCTCCCTTCCTGCCCTGGCTCTCCCCTCCGGCACACCCTACTGCTCAGTGCTGCAAGTTTTGCCTTGGGGACTGTGGTTGGATTTGGATCTTCTTTATACACTAACAGAAGAAGGAAAGGAGAGGATTTCAAACTGCTGTTTCTGCTCAGGATGCAATTAACCCCAAATACCTGGGAGTGGGCAGGTGATTCCTGGGTGCACTGCAGTTCTTCAGCATGATGCAGACCTTGTTGCGTGGTCAGGGCAGCAGGAGCCAGGCAGGCGGCAGGAGCAGGGAGCTGGTGCGTGAAGAGGCTGCAGGGCTATCCACTGCCAGGGCAACATGGGGACGCCTGGCAGGGACACACAGTCCTGCAGAGGAGCTGGCAGGGTGGCAGGCTGGGTGTGGAGAGCCAGGGGAGCTGGGCCTGGGCCAGGGACGATGGTGGGGACCCTGTGCACATGTGCAGGCACAGAAGCTGCCATGCACTTTGTGTACACCCATGCACACGCATCTGAAACCACTGCCCAGCCACGCAGAGCTGAGCAATTAGAGGGGCATCAGTGTGTGCACAGGCCTGGCAGCTAGCTGGCAGGCAGTGTGGAGCACGCAGAAGGGAAGGGGAGCACACACTTACGCCCAGCCTTGGGTGGCACAACCAGCAAGGGACCTAGACACTGCTGTCGCCCACAACCACACATGAAATGCACACAGGCGGCCAGAGGCACCCAGGCACCCAGATGTGCTCTCAGCTGCCAGCCGCCAGGCTGGAGGGAAGCAATTTCAAAACAACCAGCGTGACATGGCTTTCTGGCACAGTGGTGGCAAGTGCTGAGTATGGCCCCAGCCCTGGCAGGGGCCTGAGGGACAGAAGCAAATGGGACCCCTGCAGAGGGGTGCTGGAGTCCTCTTTCCTAAAGGGAGGGAACAGTCCCAAACAAAAGCAACCTTTGCTTGAAGTCTCACATGTAAATACAGCCACGACTTGGAGTGAATCATGCCCAGAGAAGCAGATAGTTAGGAATGCAATTGCTCAAGCATGTTCCCTGATCTCTTTGGATTGGGGCCATGGTGATTTTTATATTTGGCTCCACAAAGCTGGTGTAACCCTCCCCAGCCCTCTCCCCAGGTACTTGTGGTATCCCAGAGCTGGCCACGGCACCCTCCGGTGGTCAATCCGGCTTGACTATTAGCCAGAATCCATTAGCATCTAATGGGAAAAGCCTCAGGAACACGGCCTCAATAAATGTTGACATATTTGAGGTCAATATAATCCTTAGGAAAATTTGCCCAGGTAATTAAAGCCAGACAAGGAGCTGCCTGTCCCAGAAATATTTACCAAGCTTTACCAAAGGCAGCAAAATCAAGACAGAGAGTTTTATAACCAGTCTACACAGGGCTCCCTTGCTATATCTAGTGCTGCATGCTGCTTCCCGCTGTCCCGCCTACCTGACACCTCAGCAAGCCATGTGCTATGCAGGAACTCATCATGAGCCATCAGCCAACACACAGCCCTGGTCTGGGGCGGAGACTCGTGGAGGAAAGCAGCACTGGAGCCGGGATGGCATGGGGCAGCACAGTCCTTTGCCGTGACACAAGCAGGCTGATGTACAACGTGCATGGGCAGCCAGGGCAGGGATAGGAGGAGAGGGATGGCATGCACAGCTTCCCTGTTAGCAGCACCACAGCCTGAGCACAGGGTCCTGTGGCCATGCCCTGGGCTGGCAGGGGCTTAGCAGCCACAGCAGAGCACGGCTCGTCCCTCCTGTGGCAGATGGTGGACCAAGGCAGTGGCTTTTCAGTGCTGCTGTGGCTTTGCACACCTGGCACTCCGGGGGTCCCGGCTCCCCTGTGAGAGTGGGTGCCACAGGAGAAGCAAAGGGGTAAGCTCTGTCGTGGGGTTCATCTCCAGTGCGGACCCTAGCTCCCACGAGGCTGAGGCTGCGCTGTCTAACCTCCAGGCCTGACCCCAGTCTCTGGGTGCTCGCGCTCCTCAAAGTGAGGCTGGCCAAAGTGCAGCATTTGCTGTTTTGTTTTGTCTTCTTTCCTCCTTGAAGCCTGTGCTGTGAGACTGATGCCGTGCTATACCAGCCTCAGCTGTTTTTTTGCAAAGCAAGTGTTGTTCTGCCTGGGAAAGGAGGCTGAAAAGAGGATCTGAAGGCAGTGAAGAAACAGAAGTGAACTTACTTTCGAGCCCATGTCGTAATTTCTGAAGGTTTGGTGTTGTCAGCTGTGCAAAAAGATTGACCTACTCCCCTTTTCCCTCCCTGTTCTTCTGTCTGCTCTCCCCCTGCCGCCCCGGTCCGTGCGCGCTCCCGCCCCCAGGGACCTGTTGGAGCCGGGCTGCCGGTAACGGGGGGAGCAGCTCCAGTGGGCTTTTCCTTCCCCTGCCTTTGCAGAGGGAGACGCCCCAAAGACACCGACAGCAGGCAGGTGCCTTCCAACGGCACCGCAGCGCTACGAGCTCTTCCCAGTTCCACCTCTGCGAAGAAGATGCTGGTTCAGCTTCCCTGCGGCTGGCTTTGCTCCCGCCCGCCGCCGAGCGCGGCCCCAGCGGTCCCGGGGGTGGGTTGGGGTCGTTTGCTCTGCAGCGGCGGCGGGCAGCCCCGCTGCCGAGGGCTCACTTTGGGCTGCTGTCCCCGCCATCGCCCCGGGCCGGGCTCGGTTCCCCTTCCCGCCCGCTGCCCGCCGCGGGGAGAGGCCGCTCCCGCGAGGGAGGAGGCCGCCCGGCAGAGGCGCAGCGCGGTTGCCGGGGCCGCTTCCCCGTTTTCGGGCTGGACGTCCGCCATTCGAAGAAAAGGGAACCCGGCTGCTGGAAAGGGGAAACGATCCTGTTTTGCAGCCTCCGAAACCGGCGCAGCGGGCCCGGGGCAGGCAACGGCGGGCGAGCTCTCCGCCGCCGGGCCCGCCTCTGTCCCGCCGCCCT